CTAGAATAAAAGAAGTTACATTTTTTTAATTATCTAAATTATTTAAATAAAACCATTTTTCATTGTTTTCTTATTTTTCACCATATGTGACCCTGGAGCACAAAACCAGTCTTAAGCGTCAATAAAAAAAAAAATAAAAAAAAGCTGAATAAATAATCTTTCCATTGATGTATGGTTTGTTAGGATAGAACAATATTTGGCTGAGATACAACTATTTGAAAATCTGGAATCTGAGGGTGCAAAAAAATCTAAATTTTGAGAAAATCACTTTTAAAGTTGTCCAAATGAAGTTCTTAGCAATGCATATTACTAATCAAAAATTAAGTTTTGATATATTTACAGTAGGACATTTACAAAATATCTTCATGGAGCATGATCTTTATTTAATATCCTAATGATTTTTGGCATAAAAGAGAAATGTATAATTTTGACCCATACAATGTATTGTTGGCTATTGCTACAAATGTCCCCCAGCGACTTAACACTGCTTTTGTGCTGCAGAGACACATATTTAGTGTACTCTTAACCAGTATTTTTCTTGCTAAAATAAAAACCGTGCTTAACTTGTACACTCTAAAGATGTTTAAACAAGTTACAAAATACTTCTGAATGAGCAAATGTAATTATATTAGATTTTTTTTAAATATATATAATTTTACTATATATATATATATATATATATATATAAATAACAAATATCAATACAATATAATAATTAAATTTTTAAAATATAAATAAGAGGTTATATATATATATGACATTTAGACATCTGCTTGAGTTCCCTAGACCGCATAAACGCTCAATAAATATGATGAGATATCATCAGGACATCATCTCTGGGGTCTGGATGAGACTGGTGGAGAAGAACAGTTTAATTGCTTCATGATTTCTGCCCTCATCCTCTGGAGAATCCGCGGATATTGAGCTCAGTCTCTATATCATCCATATTACGCTGCTTCACGGAGACTTGGAGACTTGATACTGGAAAGTATAACGAAGACCTTATGATTCAAATAGGTTATAAACAGCACTCAATAAACGCGGCTTGATTTGTGTGTATAAATAAGCTGAATAAATAAGCTTTTCATTTATGTATGGTTTGTTAGGACAGTTATTTAAAAATCTGGAATCTGAGGGTGCAAAAAAAAAATCTAAATATTGAGGATATATGAATATTAAATATAAATATTTGAGCCTTTAAAGTTGTCCAAATTAAGGCCTTAGCAATACATCTTACTAATCAAAAATTACGTTTTAATATATTTACAGTATGAAATTTACAAAATATCTTCATGGAACACGATCTTTATTTAATATCCTAATGATTTTTGGCATAAAAGAAAAATGGATAATTTTGACCCATACAATGTATTGTTGGCTATTGCTACAAATAGTGCATTGCATTAAATGATTAATTTAAATGTAAAGTGGGACCAGAACAATTAAATAAGACTAAATAAAAAATTTTAAAAAAAAATAAGTAGTGATAATAACAATAATAATGTGGTATTATATTATGTAGCTACAGATTTGTGCATTATTTACAAGATTATTTTTAATAATTATTTTTACAATATTATTTATAAGATGAGCGATCTGTGCTGATTCTAAGCACAAGATGTTTTAACTTATGTGAAAACAGATGAATTTATGTGAAAGCACATTAACTTATGAAAACAATGTTTCTGACATTCAAACCATTTCGTTTTTTAAATGTTGAGGGAAAATGTAATTTTATAATTTTGCAAACATAATGGGGACATCACTTTTGAATGTTCTCTGAACGTTTTGAAACAATTTACCAAAAAGATTTAGTTACACTTAAACAGAAATAAAAATATTGAGAACATTATTGAGATCAGATCATGCAGAACGGACGATATAATTGTTCAGTAGAGTTCAGAATGGGTTTTATTTATTGGTTTATTTATTGATTTATTATTAATTGATTTTTTTTCCCAAAACCATCAAGATACCAGACATTTCTATCCAAATATATTAAATATTCCTTTAAAAACAGACAAACAAACATATTACATAAAACATTTGGTAAGGTTTCCCTTTATTAATTTTTTGTTTATAAATGAGAAAGATAATTAGTGAAATTATATATATATATATATTGTCCGTTTATTTATTGATTTATGTATTTTTATTACTGAATTATTTTGATATTGATATAATTCATTTTTATTTCCATCCAAAAACACAAATATACCGTATCTTAATTTTTTTTTTACAATAGACATGATATATTTCAGCAATGACATAAAAAGGTTTGTAAGTTTTTTTAAATAAAAAGGTTTATTCATTTTTGTTTATATGTGAAAATGCTATCTATCCATCCATCTATCCATCCATCCATCATCTGTCTGTCTGTCTGTCCGTCCATCATCTATCCATCTATCTATCTATCTATCTATCTATCTATCTATCATCCATCGTCTATCTATCTATCTATCTGTCATCCATCGTCTATCTATCTATCTATCTATCCATCCATCATCTATCTATCTATCTATCTATCTATCTATCGTCTATCTATCTATCTATCTATCTATTTATCTATCTATCTATCTATCTATCCATCCATCGTCTATCTATCTATCCATCCATCCATCCATCGTCCGTCCGTCCGTCCGTCCGTATCTATCTATCTATCTATCTATCTATCTATCTATCTATCTATCTATCTATCTATCTATCTATCTATCTATCTATCTATCTATCTATCTATCTATCTATCTATCTATCTATTGTCT